GTCTGCTTTTGGCTAGGCACTGTGCTGGGTGCTGGGGATATGAAGATAAACGGCAGACAAAACAAGTCCTTTCTTGAAAGAGCTCACCGTTTACTCCACAGTGCTGAAGTGTCTGAGTAAAGACACTTTATATAGCCACCCAGGATTATTGTAAAAAGAAGTATTAATCCGGGTGTAGCCTTAACCAAATAATCACTAGATACATTCACACCCTAAAAGTCTATAGATGTGGATTCCTTATGGTGAAATAGGTATATTCCTAAAATATTGGCTTAATAGTAGATTTGTGGAAATTGAGCTACTGGTATATTATGAAATTTGCTTGTATATTCCAATGAGGGGAAAAATGGAGTTTCAAATGTCATAAAAATCATATGGATTAAGCAGCTTTTAAAATACAAAATGGCCATATGCTAATAAAATGTTACCAATAAGTCACAATTTTAGCTTTTGTACTAAAGCTTCACATAGTGTGCCAGAAATTTCATTAGCTTGAGGCAAGATTCAGAAGAGGGAAACATGTGCTCTTGGCAGCTATAGTGACATGGCTAGGAGTGTCTAAATCACAGCCAGGTTTTCTGATTTTGGATCCTGGATTGTGATTTAGTACCCATGTGCTTTGAACAAGTTACTTGACCTCTCCATGATCACATGCCCCATCAGGAAAACGATATGATATAATAATAGGACCTACCTCACTAGGACTGTATAAGGATTCAGCAAGTTAACCCACGTAAAGAATTTAGTACAGTGCCTGATATATTGTCTGGCAGTCAAAAAACATTTAGTTATTTGCAGTTTAAGGTATAGGCCTAATCTCTACTAAAGCCAATAATCTGCTTTACAACTCCAGTCTCTGTATGCCACCCGAAGGGGTCTATCTTCTGTGACATCTTTTTTTCACATAAACACCAATTCTGGTTAGGAATACTGGCATAATTTCATGGTATGCTTTGTAAATATTGTGGTACATTCTGACTTACCTTATTAACAAGTGAGAGTATTCTGTAGTATTACAAGTATCATTATCCTATTTCATGATTTCATCAATGTGGATTGTAGTTTAATTTAGTACAAAATAAGTGTTCAATAAATATTGTCCAAATAAACTTATTTAGGCTCTCTTAGAAGATATATCCAAGAAGATATATCTATTTCATTTTTCTATCTCCAACCTACAGGTCTAATGTACAACTATAGGTTGGATATATAAAAATGAAATTCAAACTTGTTCACTAAATATCTGTGCAGGCACTACAGTAATCTATGTGTTCTCTTTAAGCTCTCAACAAAATGATACCCATCAAGGCAACCCAAGGGTTTTCTTTCCCTCTGTTACTGGCTGTGTAGAATTAACTCCTAATTTGATTCTTTGATTTGGGTGATATTTTTTTCTTTATACTCCCTGTTTTTTAAAAAATTATTGATGGTCCACTGAGCTGTGCCCTCCACAATATATAGATTGAAACAACTACTTGACTTAGAGCTGAAGGGTCCTGGAAAAACACACTGTTCCCAATTTAAAAAATATATATATTGAAAGCAGTTTGTCATTAAAGACACACACACACACACACACACACACAGACAAATTAAAATGCTTAAAAGATGAGAAGTATATGAAAAAAAATCTAGGTTTCTTCTTACAGTTAAACACAATCCTGGAGCTTTTTAACAACCAAAGCAGAAATAAAAACATCCATAGTTCCTACTGCCTTCTTATTCCTATCTCAATAGAAAGAATTTAAGGTAATAAATTCAAAGAGGTATTTGTCTAATGTTTCTTTAACTTAAGAAAGCAGAGCTACATAATAAGTGATATCTTTAACAATATTTTTATGGAAGATGCAGAAAGTTATTAATGATAACAGTTTATGTTTATTATGTATTATATACTAAAGTAATCTTTTACAAATACCATGAATAAAATTCTAAAACTTTTAGCAGAGCTGAGACTAGAATATTGATTTTCTAATATCCAGTTCAGAAATTTTTCCATTTTTTTCCTACTATACAGCCCTATACCTACCACATATAGAAGAGAATTTCACCTCAGAATTATACACACACATGCAGCCACACATATACAAACATATGTGTAAAGTTCCCATAATACACATACCACATATACACAACATATACCTTTGCAGTACTAACAATCCTATTGAAATAAGAGATGAAATCTTTCAATAAATAAAAATGATTCTATTAATTAAATTATTAAATTATTAAATTCACATAGCATCTGTCAAGCAGATAACTTCCTACATTTTGCACTGGTTATCCTTGTCTGTTTCTCATGGTCCATTAGATCATGATTTCTTTGTTTCATGATCTCTCTTCCAATCACTGCATCAGCCAAAGCCCAGAGTACAAAAATAAATAAATAAATAAATAAATAAATAAATGAATGAATGAATGAATAAATAAATAAATAAATAGAATTGAGCCTGCAATAAAACCAAACCTGGGATTTTAATTAACACAAGTCATCAAAAGTCTGTATCACTACACTAAAAAACAGAATTTATTCCTTTGTTCTTTTTACAAATGTAAGCAGTTGTAAATGCTAATAACAATTTTATTAGGTGCATTAAAACGTGAGGCCTGGATGAAAAACAGCAGCCCTTTGGGGTGTAGTGATACCACTAGCTTTCAGCCCATCAGAGAGAACATCCATAAATCCAGTGCTGGCCCACTTAGAAGACTGGGAAACAGACAACCTGCTTTTTTTCCCCTTTTAGTTACTTGACAAACCTGAATAAATACATTCATCAGCTAAATAGCCTTGAGCTATTTTAGATTAAAAATACATAAATTTAGATGTAGCAAGTTATTCTCTTACTGCAAATCAACTACTGAAAATGCATAGAAATCGAAGGACTATAACCAAGAGATTCAGTCAGGAGATTATGGTGCTTACAGCAATTTCCCAAATTGTGAGCTTATGATAGATACTCCCTTCCCAGCTTTGGGCTGGCCAAAAAGTCTAAATGCGTGGTTCTTAAAGTGTGGTCTCCAGAGCCGCAGCCACAGGATCGCCTGCTGTGAACTTGTTAGAAATGCAAATTCTTGGGTTCCACCCAGACCTACCAACTCAGAACCTCTGGGGATGGGGCTCAGGACTCATGTTCTTAGGAGATCTCTAGGTGATTCTGATGAAAATTTGAGAACTGATCTGAATGAAGGACTCCTCAAATTTTTTTTTTCTTTGCTGCCTCAGTTCATTCCTAACTTATATCCCCATTCTTAATTACTGATTCCTCCTGCTTCTTACAGATCTAGCCATTGGAAACGATGCTCTGTCAACCGCCACTGTCTTGCCTCAACAGAAAAACATCTCTGTATTCTCTGCCCTTTCCTCAGTCTTTGCTGTTCTTTCCTCAGCTGCAGCTGCCTTGACTTGTTCTTCTTGTCACAGTTCTCCACAAACCACTGCATGTGTGTGTATCTGGCCCTCACGCTACCCATGTCACACCCTCACTACCAAATTGCCACGTGAACCTGCTGCTCGTGGCTGCTGAGGTTGCCTACTGTGGATGTTTGGTGTTTTGCTTGATCCAGGGTGGTGGCCTATGTTACGACATGACCTTAGGTCCACTTCTGAAGTGGAAACCTGTCTCACAGGGGAAGCCTTGGGTTGGAGGGGTGAATGGCAATTCCTTAGGAGAGGGAGGAAGAGGAGGGTCTGGTACTACAATGGGTAAGCAAGTGACCGCCCAAACCCAGCGCATACAGATGCATCAAACAAAGAACTGGAGAGCAGCTTTGTTTTTAACAATTGTTTGCAGTGAAGAGAAGTGAGGCACGGCATCCTGAAAACTGTCTCATGTTCTTCATATTACCTAGTACTTAGAATCTTAGCGCTAAGAATACTACCTTCTACTTGGCTGGCTCCTTTTTCTGTCTCCACAAGTCATACTACTATTAATATATTTGGGCACGTCCAAAGAATAATGAACTAGGTAAAGCACAAACCTTACTATAGATATTCATTTAGTCCATTGTAATATAGACATGCATAAATGTAAATTATTGATTGAATTCCAATAAATTTGGACAACATATCTCATAATAATGATACCTTACTTGTAATATGTCACTAATTTCAAGAAAGATATCAGTGGGTTACTTCTCTTATATTTCACAATATTGAACAATTTTTTCATCCTCCCTTTTTCTATTGCCAAAATGCTCAGTTAATAACCCGACTTAGTAGTGGGCCTGGAACCTGTTTTCAGTCTCCGCTGCACCAGTGTAGGAATTAGAGGACACTGGCACCTCTTCTGCAGCTTTCATGTCAAAAAATGGAGTGAATGATTTAAGATGAAGTTTCCAGAAGTGCTTTTAAGAGGGTTTGGGGGATGAAGCTGTTTTTGGTTATCCGTCTCCTCTACATCACTGGCAGGCTGACTCTGCCAGTCTGAAAATGAGCTGGCACGTGATGCTGCTATGGGAAACCTGGAGAGAAACAGTAAATCCAGTGGAGGCCCAGGTCCTGGGGAAGGAAGGCTCGCTGACCTAATTCATACCAGCTCTAATTTGCTGCTTTCTCTACAACCAGAAAAATAGTTTCTAGTTCTGCATCAACAGCCTCTAAGACCCCTCAGAACACTCCCCCAGGGTCTCACTCCCCAGTGAGAAGAGCCCTGAGCTACTAATGCCTCTGTCATTTTGAATTAGTGTTGACACAGAGCATAAAACAGGTAAAGGGGGAGGAAGTGCTAAGATCACTGTATTTTTTTTAAACACCTTTGCAGAAGAAGCAAGCCCAATTCCCAAATACTCAATAAATAGACTTTGCTTCTTAACCAACAATGAGAGAAGAGCTCATCTCAGAAGAAGCTGCCATTTCACTAAAAAAGCAGTAAAATTGCTACCTTCATTATGTGCTTCTTGCTTAATACAGCTCCTCTAATGAGAGAAAAAGGGTTATTCCTCTCTCCTCTAGAGAACTTATTTTATTGCACTCTCCCCCAAACCTCTTAACGGGAATTTACCTCCTTCAGATCCTGCACGACAGCTGCGAGCCTCTCATTTTCCGCCTGCACGTTCGTGACCACAGCGCGGCTCTGCTTCAGCTCGTTCTGCATCTCCAGGATTTTCCCCAGGTAGTAAGCTTCCTTCGATGCTGACTCCTGCAGAAGCGTTTCCTCCCGAGTCTCTCCATCCTCAGCCACTTTCCGGTGGATGGAGAAGGACTGCCCGAAGGCCTGCAGAGCATTGGAGAAGAAAACGAGTGCACAGTGAAATATACACAAGAACACTATTAAACAGACTTGCGAAAATGTTTCATTTCACGTTATTTGTGAAAAGAGCTATTCTGCAAGACCTCCAGAAGCAAAACATACATAGTTTATGTAAGAGTCAAGCAGGTCTCATTGATACTTTAAATAGTTCAAATTCAATTAATAAGGAAAAATAAAATTTAAAAATATCTTGTGTGCATGTGTGTGTGTGTGTGTGTGTGTGTGTGTGTGTGT